TAGAGATGGGGCTTCGCTATGTTGGCCAGGCTGGTCTTAAACTCCTGACCTCAGGTGATCCACCCGCCTCGGCCTCTCAAAGTGTGGGGACTATAGGCGTGAGCCACTGCACCTGGCCTATGTAAGTCTCTTTTCTAATTTCACCAGTTGCCTTGTACTGTAATAGTATATAAATTTTATCTATACTTACACAGCTAAAAATGCTACAAATTCCATTTTTAACTCTTTAAAAACGTTCCCATTTCTGCTCCTCTATTGCTTAATTTTATCCATAAATCCTCTCTGTTTATTGCAATGGACATGTAAGTTTTCCATTAGTACAGTACGGGACTATAACATTTACTTCCACGGGAAAGCAGCAGGCAACTGGTCAAATACTCAGTTATGGGGAAACAAGGATGCCCACAAATCTTCACTGTGCAACTTTTTAAAGCTATGACAAAGGTGACTTGAACTCCATCGATTCCTTCCACGAATACTTCACCTTCATTAGTTTTTGCTAAGCACACTAAAACTTGGGGGGAGGACACAAAGAGCTTATATACTAACACACCTGGGAAAAACACAGAAATCCATGTGCTAAGCTGAAAGAACTCCCAGTTTCACTTTGCTTTTCATTAGAAATGGTGTGCTGTTAAATTCCTAAGGATTCCTTACCTGCCCCCTGCTTGGTTCATTCAACCTTAGTTCTACTGACCCAGCATTTGTACTTCTGTACTTCTTTTTAATTTAACCTTACAAGTTAGAGCAATGTAATCACGAATAAAACTCTATTTTTTATTTTAATGTAGAAGTGACTATAGGAGTCACTTCTGCATTAAAGTGACAGATACAAGTACAACGAAAATCTATGTATTACTTTTAAGAAAATTTTAAGAACTTTTATTTCAAACTGTATCTAAAAATACTTTCACTGCAACCAGAAATCTGGTTACTCCTCAGGAATACACTAATACAATTTCACCTGGATATGAATTCATTAAACAACTGTAATATGAAAAAGACAACTCTAGGACAGACAAGTGAAATTTCAAAATATACACAAATCACAGAGTGATGAAAAAGCTTTACTGCACTGTTTTCGAATTTAGTCAGTTAAAAAATTTGAGTATTTTTTTGAAACAGGTCTTGCTATGTTGTCCATGCTGGTCTTAAACTCCTGGGCTAAAGCGATCTTTCTCCCTCAGCCTGTCAGGTAACTGGGATTTGTAAACACTCTGCTTCACAATGGTGTTTCAAAGATGGGTACATATTTGTTGTATATTTCAAAGTCTCACATTAACAACTATCACCTGCATTACTCAACACTTATTATAAGCAAGGCCTTGTGCTGAATATGAAATAAATACCTCATCTTTAAAATTAGGAATCTCTTCATTTCAAAGATGAGTCGAAAGTGCAGGGAGTGAACGTGATTTGGTCAAGGTCACACAGGAGGTGGTGGGTCTGGAAAGTGAATTGGGCCTGTCTCTTGACCATTTTGCCACACTGCCTCCATGCACGCTGATGCTCACCTACAATCCCTGTGCCAACACCATAACAACATGGGATGGTGTTCCAGAAAGGCCTTCCACTGACAAAATCAAACGAAGTCATTGGAATAGTGTCCGAGTCAGAAATTTAAGGGCAGGGATCTTAGAGATTAGAGGTCATGAGAGGTTCAAACTTCTCATTTTAGATGAGAAATGAAAGTACTAGTTGGTGGCATAATAAGTTCTAGTTTCCAAGTCCTCACCTATGGTTCAGAGATTTTCCCATCCTGCTTAATCACAGAAAGCTCAGAGACATTATTTATTTTTTCCTGTTGCCCAGGCTGGAGACTCGATCTTGGCTCACTGCAACCCCCAACTCCCAGGCTCAAGCGACTGTCCCACCTCAGCCTCTTGAGTAGCTGGGACCACAGGCACGTGTCACCACGTCTGCTAATTTTTGTACTTTTTGTAGAAATGGGGTTTTGCTATGTTACCCAGGCTGGCCTTGAACTCCTGAGCTCTAGCAATTCACCCGCCCAGGACTTCAAAGTGCTGGCATTACAGGCGTCAGCCACTGCGCCCGACCTCAAACATTGTCTTCATAGGATATTTCCAACTTAGTTGAAAGGCAAGACTTTTATGACCTAATCAGCAAAAAATATAGGATATATAGTATACAGTAAGTGTAAAGGTGTGTGTTACAAACTGGGCGTATTACCTCTGTAAGAATAGAATGGAGACAGAGCTGCTTGGGGAAGCCTCATGGGTACCGGGTGACAATGAACTGGAAGGAAAGTAGGGGTGGGAGAGACAATTAAGCATGTGTGCATAGGGGGAGGGGACTTGACAGCGAGCATGGCACACTTGTGAGACAGTAAGAAAGCAATCCCAATCATAATAGAAAGTAGGCCATGGAGACCAGGCACGGTGGCTCATGCCTGGAATCCCAGCACTTTTGGAGGCTGAGGCAGGTGGATCACCTGAGGTAGGAGTTTGAGACTATCCTGACCAACATGGTGAAACCTCTTCTCTACTAAAAACACAAAATTAGTCATGCATGGTGGCAGTCGCCTGTAATCCCAGCTACTCAGGAGGCTGAGGCAGGCAGGAGAATCACTTGAATCCAGGAGGCAGAGGTTGTGGTGAGCCAAGACTGTGCCATTGCATTTCAGCCTGGGCAACAAGAGAGAAAGTCAGTCTCAAAAAAAAAAAAAAAAAAAGGAAAAAAAGGGAAAGTAGGCCATAGAAAGTAGAAGGGAAAAATGATGGGGAGATTCAGCTATGAAGGGCCTTCACAGCCAAACAGAAAAATGGAGAGTACATTAGTAACTAGGTGACCAGGGCAGATTTGTGAGGGGGCCCCTCATCAATGAAGGTGATGAGTTAGAAAGATGCATCTGGCTCTGATACCAGAGTGTTAAGGAAGAGATGAAATTGGTATAAAATGAAGATTTTTGTTTGGGAGTCAAGAATGAATTTCTTACTTTGTGCTCACTACAAAGATTGATCAATTTTTTGAGATGTTTTTAATCCATAAAATGATTTATGTTCTTCTATATATTGTATATAAATATGCATATATAGTATATATAGTATATAAAAATATACATTTTATACTATATATATACATATATAGTATAGATAGATATATAGTATATAAAAATATATATATACACACACACACACACACACCCACCTTTTTTTGAAATGGAGTTTTGCTCTTGTCGCCCAGGCTGGAGTGCAACGGCGTGATCTGTGCTCGCCGCAACCTCCACCTCCCAGGTTCAAGCAATTCTCCTGCCTCAGCCTCCCGAGCAGGTGGGATTACAGGCATGCGCCAACACGCCCAGCTAATTTGGTATTTTTAGTACAGACTGGGTTTCTCCATGTTGGTCAGGCTGATCACAAACTCTCGACCTCAGGTGATCCACCCACCTTGGCTTCCCAAAGTGCTGGGATTACAGGCATGAGCCACCGTGCCCAGCCTACAATATATAATTTAGAAGGACTACGAATTAGGAATATTTTCTTGGATAATGTTATCATATTTACAGAGACAAATATTTAATGAAGGAATATTATCATAGCAAGATTTTATTGACTTAATTGCTTATTTTCTACTTACCTAAGAAGATACCAGTAACATTCTGCACCAGCAGCATTTGATGAGAACACTGATGCAATACTGTCAACCAATCACATCACAACCAGATACAACAGAACAGGCAGGGCTGTTACATTTCTTATTCAGTTTTCCAAAATAAGCCCCTTAAATCAACACACCAAGCTATTTAGGTCTAACTATAGAATCCTTTTCTCTGTTAAGATTTTCCCAAGGACCATATTGGGAAAGTAGCACGTTTGATTGTAAACGGTTGGCAACTAAATAGATGAGACTATACTCTTGGTCAGTGAATATATTTTATCTTTTCTGCCTTGCTTTTTGGTGACAATCATTGACCTATATCCCCTCTACAAAGTGGTTAGCAGATGAAAGTCAAGGCTATTTGAAGAGACTTGGTAAAGTTGTCTAAAAATATTAGTTCTGACTATACTCCAAAGTCACAGTTCTGAAAAACATTGCTATAAATACTTTTAGGTCATGCTAGAATCAGTCCCCATATTAAAAAGCAGCACATGAAAGAAAACAAGAATATGACTTGTGACATGTTTCTTTTAAATTCTAATCTAAGAAGCCTCCTTGCATATCTAATTACAGACCTTAATTTCACAACCATGAGCAGGTAAGTTTCCATTCTAGAAACAGCACCAATTATTAGTTGTTACTTGAAACCGAAAAATTGAAGAATCTAACAGAGAACATGGCAGTTGACCACAAATACTTTGTTCTCTTCCAAAAATTCCTTAAAACTACAGTACATGAATTTTTCAAAAGTACAAATCCATCAAGTCAAGGAGATTGGAAAAGAAGCTGACAGGAAATGAGAGACATCTACATTTTGGCAGCTGGAAAGCAAATAAACAAGTGGTGATTTTTCTTAGGAGCCAAAACAAAGCTAACAACTAGTTACAGGCAAGGAAGCAACAAGAAGCGGGGCTTAGGATGAGGAGATATAAGACAGTCTTGGCTCAATGTGTGTGACTAAGTTACTGTTAGAAACACTTAGTGGAAGGATCAGTCCCTGCAAAAAATGCTTGTGTGCACTCATAAGACAGACTAGGAAATTGAGAGAAAAGGGTTTTACTGAAAAGTTTTCACTGCTGGGTTCTAAAGTATCTGCCTTGATGGGTTCTATGAACTAATGTACAGACCTTTAGTTTCTGATGAAAAATAAGCTCAGCTGAAGTAGCTCATGCCATCTGCAAACTCATGTGCAATAATGTAAATAAACAGAGGGAAAACACAATTAAATTTTAAAACCCACTTGAAATGAAATGAATTTGTCTGTCTCTGTGTATGTAGTGAGTATGGACCAAAATATGTCATTTCTATTGCTCAGCAGCAAAGCTGAAAATAGTAAACAGTTTTCAGATCAAAATGAATGTCTCATCTTACGTGGTTTTTACCTGGTTGGAGCTTACTGGGATGATGCTGTGTTCCGGCTCCAGGTAGGGGAGGTGGGCTTACCCCTGCAGGCCCAGCACCCTGGGTTGGGCTCACACTGGTTAGAGTCCCCGTAGGCAATGGCTGGCCTCTCTTTAATAGCTGCTTCTGTTCTTGCTGGCGGAAGCGTGGAGGCACCTCACGAGGCAGGTAACGGGATGCAGCTGGCTGCTGGCCACCGGCACATGAACGTTTGCCATTGTTGCTGCTGGAGATAGTGCTGGTGGAAGTACTGGTACTGGTACCGGCAGGTTGGGGCTGGCTTGAACAGGTCTTAGTAGGTTCTGGCACTAAAACGAGCAAAAGGCAAAAGAACCCAAAACTTTAGCTAGACCCCCTTAAAACCCAACCCAGACTAAAGAAACCATAACCAAACACTGAGGAAAAAATGACAATGCAGTGCTCTGGAAACAGAACTGAAGTCTAGAGTTACTAGTTTTGGAAACAGAGCTCGACTGAAGTCTAGAGTTCCAAGTTTTGGAAACAGAGCTGGACTGAGGGGTCTAGAGTTCAAGTTTTGGGGAAACAGGCTGGACTGAGGTCTAGAGTTCCAAGTTTTGGAAACGGAGCTGGACTGAAGTCTAGAGTTCCTAGTTTTGGGAACAGAGCTGGACTGAGGTCTAGAGTTCAAGTTTGGAAACAGAGCTGGACTGAAGTCTAGAGTTCCTAGTTTTGGAAACAGAGCTGGACTGAAGTCTAGAGTTCCTAGTTTTGGGAACAGAGCTGGACTGAAGTCTAGAGTTCTAAGTTTTGGAAACAGAACTGGACTGATCTAGAGTTCAGAGTTTAGGAAACAGAGCTGGACTGAGGTCCTAGAGTTCCAAGTTTTGGAAACAGGCTGGACTGAAGTCTAGAGTTCCTAGTTTTGGAAACAGAGCTGGACTGAGGTCTAGAGTTCCAAGTTTTGGAAACAGAGCTGGACTGAAGTCTAGAGTTCTAGTTTGAAACAGAGCTGGACTGAAGTCTAGAGTTCTAGTTTTGGAAACAGAGCTGGACTGAAGAGTTCCTAGTTTTGGAAACAGAGCTGGACTGAAGTCTAGAGTTCCAAGTTTTGGAAACAGAGCTGGACTGAAGTCTAGAGTTTCTAGTTTGAGACCTAGTTTTGCTACACACAAACCAATCTTGAGCGTTTGAGCCAGCTATTCTTGGGCCTTGGTTTCCTCATCTGCAAAATCAAGGTGATACAGTAAGACTGGAGCAGCAGTTCTCACACTTGGTTTGCATCACAATCACCTAGAGGACTTATGCAAGCCTAGACACCTGGTGCCCGCCTCCAGACTTTCTGATTCAGTATCAAAAAGCAAGGAGAAACTGGGAATTTGTTTTTTTTTTAGTGTCAGACGGTGTCTCACTCTGTCACCCAGGTTGGAGTGCAGTGTGGCGCCATCTTAGCTCAGTGCAACCTCCACCTCCTGGATTCAAGTGATTCTCCTGCCTCAGCCTCCAGAGTAGCTGGAATTACAGGTGCAGGCCACCAAGCCCAGCTACTTTTTATATTTTTAGTAGAGATGGGGTTTCACCATGTTGGCCAGGCTGGTCTCGAACTCCTGACCTCAAGTGATCCGCCCGCTTCAGCCTCCTAAAGTGCTGGGATTATGGGTGGGAGTCACCATGCCTGGCCAGAATTTGCATTTCTAACAATTACTGACACAATGTTGATGCTGCTGGTTCTTGCACATCTCTATGAGAACCACTGCTCTTGTTCAATATTTATAAAACGAAAGAATCTTCAGGTGTCCATGAATTTATATGTATTTTTGTTTTAACTCTGATGATAATGTATAGAACATATATTGGTGCATTCTGGGTTATCTGAATAATTAAAGCTAAATAATGACGTTTTAGTCAGCAACTGACTTCATATATGACAGTGGTCCCGTAAGATTATAATGGAATTGAAAAATTCCTATTGTCTGGTGACACAGATGTTGCAATGTCATGGTATAACACATTACTCATGTGTTTGTGGTGATGCTGGTGGTAACAAACCTACTGTGCTGCCAGTCATATAAAAAGTCTAGGGAGGCCAAGGTGGGCGAATCACCTGAGGTCAAGAGCCTGAGACCAGCCTGGCCAAAATGGCGAGACCCTCTCTCTACTAAACACACACACACACACACACACACACACACACACACACGCCAGGTGTGGTGGCACGTGCCTGTAATCCCAGCTATTCAGGAGGCTGAGGCAGGAGAACTGCTTGAATCCGGGAGGTGGAGGCTGCAGTGAGCTGAGATTGCGCCACTGCACTCCAGCCTGGGTGACAGAGCGAGACTCTGTCTTTTTTTTTTTTTTTTGAGACGGAGTCTCGCTCTGTCACCCAGGCTGGAGTGCAGTGGCCTGATCTTAGCTCACTGCAAGCTCCGCCTCCCGGTTTACACCATTCTTCTGCCTTAGCCTCCCGAGTAGCTGGGACTACAGGCGCCCACCACCTCGCCCGGCTAGTTTTTTGTATTTTTTAGTAGAGATGGAGTTTCACCATGTTAGCCAGGATGGTCTCAATCTCCTGACCTTGTGATCCGCCTGTCTCGGCCTCCCAAAGTGCTGGGATTACAGGCGTGAGCCACTGCGCCCAGCCGAGACTCTGTCTTAAAAAAAAAAAAAAAAAAAAAAAAAGTCTAGCACATACATTATGTACAGTAGTACATAATGGTTCAGAATAACTATATTACTGGTTTATGTATTTACTATGCCTTTTGTCATTTAGAGTGTATTGCTTCTACAAAACAAAAAAACAAAAAAACAAAAACAACCAACAACAAACCACCACCAACAACAGTTAACTGTAAAACAGCCTAAGGCAGGTCCTTCGGGAGATATCCAGAAGTCATTGTTATCACAGGAGATGAAAGTTCCACGCATATTATCTTCCAGTGGGACAAGATGTGGAGGTGGAAGACATTGATACTGATGATTCTGACCCGTGTAGGCCTTGGCTTGTGTGTGTGTTTGTGTCTAGGTTTTTAACAAGTTTAAAAGTTAAAAAAAAAAAAAAACCACACACACAGAAAAGAGCTTAGAGAATAAGGATATAAAGAAAAATATTCTTTGTACAGTTGTACAATGTATCTTTTAAGCTAAGTATTATTAAGAAAGAGTAAAAAAAAAATTTAAAAAAATTAAAAAGCTGTATTCCTGAAAAAAAAAAAGTTTTAAAAATAAGTTTAGTGTGGCCTAAGTGTATAGTCATGTCCTAGGCCTTCACATTCACTCACCACTCACTGACTCCTCAGAGCAACTTCAGTCCTGCAAGCTCCATTCATTTAACTGCCCTATATAGGTGTACCTTTTAAAAATTCTTAATAGCGTATTTTTCTTGTCCCTTTCCTATGTTTAGATAACATAAATACTTACCATTGTGTTGCAACTGCCTACAGTATTCAGTATAGTAACATGCTGTAGAGGCTTGCAGCCTAGGAGCGAAAGGTTCTACCACATGGCGTAGGTGAGCAGCAACCTATACCACCGAGGTTTGCACAGTGACAAAACAGCCTAACGATGCATTTCTCAGAAAGTATCTCTCTGTCAAGCAAGGTATGATTGTACTACTGAATTTCAGTGTCAGCAACTGTGGCCTGGCATCTGTAGCACCGCCACACTCTGCCAGATTTACTGAATGCAGTTGGGCCTACTGTGCGAATAATGAATTTGCATTAAGTGAAGGTCCAAAATCATATTAAAGTTGCATAAACAAAGATTTCATAGTAATTTAAATTTTAAAAAAGGAGCAGAAGAGTTGGGTCATAACCTAATAATAGAGTTTACTAATAAGCATGCCAAATGCAAATGGTGATTCGAGTAGTAACTCTGCACGCCGACATGTGAAGTGCAAAAGAGTCTTGCGCCTCAATAATCAGAGTCCCACCTCATCTTGTACACAAAACATCATTATCCAGGTCATTACATTTATCTTGTTATTTGAAAACACTTTTGGTTTTCTACTCAATTTGTAAACATCACTAGTTTGATAGTTGAAAAAAGCTATGTACAAAATGAGTTTATACCTAGTTCTGTACATACCTTTTATGTAGAAGAAACAATAAAAAATATTTTAAGTCAACAATGGGGGGTGGTTCATGATACGGTACTGTTTTCCTTTACATTGCCAGCTCCAGTCTACCTGCAGTTTTTGTCTCTCAACATGGAATTGACCATCTACCATGTGAACACTACAATGTCTACACTGCCAGTATCCTCCAGGTCTTTGCCTCACTGTCTAGCTGTCACCAATGCTTGGCAAGTCCTTAGTCCTGGATGAACCCACTGTCTACTCTCCTTACTTCCTGACTCAGGTTGCTAAGTAGCTCTCAAGAAAATCATGTGACATGCAGTTTGGTACCACTATGAATGCATGGTCCCGGCCTCAGAACGCCCTCATTGCTTCCTGTCAATCCTGCAACTTCCTGGGTCTGCCTTGTTCCAGTGCTGTCAACAATTCATTTAAAGATCTTCCACTCCTGAACTCCTATGCCTTTACCTCCTTGTTCCCACTTCTCCCCATCTCCAGAAAATGAACTTGACTACTCTGCAGAATAAATAAAAGCCATCAAGTAAAAACTTCAAGTTTCTGTCACTACAGATATATGAGTGTCACCCTGTTCTTTGTCCCGCATCTGTTACTCCTATCTAAGGCTAATACTGTATTCCATCAACTCGAAGACGCACATCCCTTCACAGGTTACCATCACTTACATTGGGATGTGTCTTACAATGGATGACATGTCAGTGCACAGGCAGCATATTTTCCTTTCTTAATGGTATGTGCAATACCGATATGTCTCACAATCAATGGGGTCAAAGAGGCAATGCAAGGGGGCATCCTCCAAACCTCTGGATCCTATCTTAGGGACTTTGCGTGTCCTGGGTCTTCAACTCACAACTCTCTCCAAAGTAGATATGAAGGCCCAAAACATAATATTGGGTCTTGGATCAATTCCTTGCTTTACAAATATTTCTCTATTTTTTTTTCTAGCCAGAGTTTTAATGAGGGAACTGAATATAAAAAAGAAGAGGGTTGCTTTGTTTGTGTGCAGAGTGAAAGAAACTGCATTTCCAACCTGTAACTGGCCCAGGGACGGTCTGGCTACTGTAATTAGCTCCTTCTCATTATCATTTGAACACGTTCAAATCTTTAATCTCTTCACAAATGGCAACAATCACCTCTCTCCTGGACTCCACATTCTCCTCCAGCTCCTCCCACTCTCTCCTGTCCTCCTGCAAACCTTCATGGAAATTGACTACCTAAGGTCATAATTTCTTCCTTGTCGCTAAAATCCAAGGCCATGTT